CACTGTTAATTAACCTTAAAGGCAAGACAATACAATTCCTCTGTAATCACAGAATGATACTGCAGAGTCTTTTTAGCCACTGTTGGTTCTAACTTGTAAATTAGTTTTAGAAGATAGCAAAACAATTTATAAAGTCACATTGAAACGTGAAATAATCGAAGTGGAAACTGTTTGGCTAGTAACTAAATATTGTTCATTAACTGCTGGTAATGATTAATGTGCTAGGCCAATTATTACTGATTTTATTTCCAATGTGTCTGCATACTTATGACAAAATTCAAGCTTTTGAAGGAAATGAAGACCAAATACAGAAAATAATAATCTACAGTAGTATACCACTTACTTTAATAATTTAAATATTCCTTTCTCTTCAGGGAAAAGTTATTGTGCAATCATTATTCAGAATCAAAATTTTGGGGGTAAGTCTCTCTTTTTGGTTTTATTTTTCGGTTAAATTGTGTAAGTAAACTGGTAAATCATATTTTTGGTTTTGACCACAAAGATTAAACAAGAAATTATAGGGATTATAAAGAATATTAAAATTTTTCTCCAACTCATGAAAACATCTGAATAGACAAAGGAAATAAGCACTAAAATTTGATAGAAACAATTTATTTTTTAAATTTTTCATTTGCATGAAGATAGAAAGCTCCTTACATGGATAAGCTTCCCTACAGTAGTCAGTCATTGGTCTTCAATGGATAATCTTTATAGGATTATCAGTTTTGTATCAAGAGGATAGCAAAGGAGCTGATGTGGAGCAGCACGCAATGATGTGTGTGCCCTCTGTAAAGTCCTCCACAGTTAAAAATTGTCTCTACTCTAACAGGTATCCTTTAGGAGGGACTCTAAATGCTAAACTTTCAAGGCTAAATTGTGAAAGACCAGAAGTCAAGGTCCAAAGTTTTTGAGCAGCTGGACACAGGGGATACAATGGAGAAATCCAACCCTTTTCCTGGTAAAATAATGGGTTAAAGTGCAATGGAAGAACTTCATTATTTCTTTCCCATTAGTTAAGTATGGGGGCAAAATCCTAACTTTTAAGTTTCCCAGTAATTTCCTTTATGTACTATAGATAATATATATAGAAAAAAAAAAAGGAGGTTGTATTAGACTCATCTAGACATTAAATGTGTGCTGCTTATTGTGGTTAAATGGATCCAGCTGCTTGATATGGTTAATTCTCTGTAATATTAGATCAAAACAACTATAACTATGGCATTTTTCCTAAAAAAGGAAAGGAAGAGTATTTAAAGTGAATGCTTAGTCTTTCTGGAATGTTAAACACCAAAAACTGGTCAAACCAGCATAAATTCTGCAGTAGTCTTGCACATGTAATTATATCACCTGTCCCAGATGCACCCAAAAATCTTTGAAACAACAGCATGACTTCTTCAAGTGACCTTCCCACAAGAAACTCACTTTTGCAAACAACACTTGAGTTTCAGATAATGAGATGAAATTTATTTGATGATCAATTTAGAGAAAAGTAATTTCTGCTTTACTATCAGTTGTGTAAAATCAAGAGATATATGTAATTTCTTAAACTATGAAGTGTCTCGTTAATAACACCTGTATATACTGATTGTAAGCCTACAGGTCTTCCCAAAAAATTGGCTAGTTTTGAATTCCAAGGGTCAAAAACTGAGAACTTTTTATTTTACTGTTACTCAACTGTGGCTCAATGGAATGACTATTTGGTTGATCTGATTCCCTCCCTGAGCATGAGGGAAGGAAGGTTTTCTTAAAGACTGCAAGAATGGAAAAGGTCAGGATGGCACAGAAGAGTATTTTTCAGTCCAAAAATGAGAAACTGATTGAAAGTTTGAAATGTAAAATTACAGTCTAATCTCTGTTTTGCAGAGGTTAAGGTGCATAGTTTTTGACCATTCACCAAAACAAATTTTTTTACTAGAATCATGGTTTACATAAAAGCAAACCAAACAAACTAACCCCTCACTCAGATTTTATTCATATACTTATTCATACTTAATATACTTCTCATGATACAAGTAAACTCTAAAATAATCATGAAATTCATTCCATCAACTCTGTTCTTCCCCAAAATGCTGAACAGGAATGAGGAGTGATAACAAATCAAATAGGTATGTGCATCACTAATCCATACAGCTCAGCTCTCCTTGAAATGTAAATTCCAGAAAGGAACTTGGATTTTCAAAGATGCATACAGTTTCTGCTAGCTGGTGCTCCTGCATTCAGCTCATTTAAAAATTAGCTGTAAACTTCAGACAAGAAAGACTTGATGCCTGCAAGAATAAATATAGAAAGACATTAGAACCTTTCTATATAGGGATAGATAATAGCTTAACAATATCAGTATTTTATCCCTCCTCATGACATATTATAGCCATGTTCCATTTTTCTGATTTGGATGAACGTTAGACAAGGAAGACACTGTTAGACTGCACACCTGCAGTTATTACAGTTTGGCTATCCAGTGTCCTTCTAGAGAAAATAACCCTACACTTAAACAAAACCCTAAACCTAACACCCTAACCCTAACCCTTCTAGAGAAAATAACCCCAACCTTAAACAAAAAACTAACCCTAACCCATAACCCTAGCCCTAACCCAAACCCAAACCCAAACCCTAACCCAAACCTAACCATAACTCTAACCCTAATCCTAACCCCTAACCCTAACACCCTAACCCAAACCCTAACCCAAGCCCTAACCCAAACCCAAACCCTAACCTAACCATAACTCTAACCCCTAACCCTAACCATAAATCCCTACCCCCCTAACCCTAACACTTCCTTTTTCTTGGAAGACTTGAAATCTAATGTGGCATATGGGCATCTGAGTTTTTCAATTACTAGCATCTACCTTAAACTTTTGTTAAAGTATACATTGTTTTCAAATTTGCTTCTTGTAAGAAAAAATTAAAAAGAGGAAAAAGAGATTTTCAGAATGTGTAAGAAACAGAAAGTTATATATTTTTGTCCAATATAAGCGGCATTTAGGTTGCTCCCTTTGATAATGTGTTCCTGAAATGAGTGGCCTGGAAGGGGTTTTGTTTATCACTGAGATTGCACTGGTCAGGAAGAACCAGCCACGCTAGAGAGTATTGGGAATTTGGATTTGGGTGTTCTGTTATCAGTGCTGTGCCCACAAAATAGAAAGAGCTATTCTGATATAGAACTGTACTGTTAATTCAGAGTTCAGAAATATTCTGGTTTAACTTTTTACTTGACAAAAGATAAAGAACTGTAGAATTGTTAGAAAGAAAAGACTTGTTAGACTGCACAACTGTAGTTATTACAGTTTGCCTATCCAGTGTCCTTGTAGAGATGGTAGAAGAGCAGCATAAACATTCTGCTCTTTGACTAATACAGATATTTTTGTATTTCCACAGATTCTTATTTGACATTATATTTCTTAGTGCCTACATCTGATCAATATTAATGATTAAGAAGCCACTATCTCAGAAAAGTGGCAGAAGTAAAAGAGAATTTACACCATCTATAGAAATCAGGGATGTATTAAATATATTTCATAAAGGTAATTTCAGAGACTAATTATATGCTAGTGAAAATAATTTGCTTTCATATATACACTGTATTTTCTTTCATACATACATATACAAGTAGTAGAGCAGATAAAAAATAAGATTTATTATAATATTTTTAACATTTAACATTTTTTGAGAGAATATTTGATGAAAGTTATTTCCACTTAGTCTGATTCTATCCAGCTTCAGAAAAATACTGCTATATGTCTATGTAGCCCACTCATAAAGTATTAAAAGCTTAAAAATCAGCCCTGCAATACATACCTGTTGTGGAAAGTGGAAGAATCCCATGGTAGGAACACACACTCCTTTAGGCTGAGCAGTGACGTAGGTAGAAGGACACAGATGCAGAACCCTCACCAGGGTCCAGTTGGGTTTGATGCTCAGAGTTGATTTTCCTCTTTGGTATTGATATGCAATAAAATGCTTATGTGAAAAAACAGAAAAATCAGCACAATACTGTTAAAAAAAAAAACCCTGAAAATAAAATCTTGATGCAGGGCTAAAAATGGGTGTAGTTCTTACATATAATGTGAGTATGTCATGCTGAACACTGTGTCTGTGTGTGTCACACAGCAAGAGGTTACTTTAATGTTGGGACTATCCCATGATCTGCACCAGAAATGGCAAAATAAAACTACACCATGCTTCAGGGGGCAAGAAAAGAATATTTTTTTTTTAACAAGAGCCATTTGCCAATAGAGTTATATAAACCAAAATCAGGAGAACAATAGAATAACTAGTCACAGAGTACAAACATAATTTATATGGTAGTACTAAGAGCTTTCCCATTCAAGAGCAAAGTGACAATTTATGCAATCAAGTATTTGTACAGTTGCTTATTAATTATTAATAATTTTTTGGTATTGATTTTTTTTTAGTGTATAGAGTATCAGTGTTCCTGGGATATTTTAATTTCTTTACATTCAGAACTCTCACTTTAACCTTCTTCAAATAGTTCATATTCTTACTTCAAAAATTTTTTTTGCAAACCCAAGACAGTAAGAGCATGGTTTAATACTCATGTTATACAGACAGGTAGCTTCTAGATCACCTATCCAAAATTACAGGTGAAATAGATTCCTTCTATTATTAATTAAGTACTTCAGCATATTAAAGATGACAATTTATTTCTTGGAGCTACTATGTGCGCCCTTATTTTAACATACAGTTTAAACTCACTTTATGAAAAGTTCTATAAATCAACACCACTATCATGTGGAATATAAAAAATAATAACAACAAAAAATACAGAACAGTTAGAATAATACTATTTCCAATATTTACATTTTTTACAGTTAGATGTATTTTTCCAAAAAAGCAGAACTCTTGTAGAGATACATCTTTGCTAAGTCTGCTGAAGTTAATGTATTTGCATGTGAGAGAAAGAAGATCAGAATATGACTCCCAGTAATCATACAAATACATAAAGCTTATTTTTCCCAACATAAAGAGTACCATTTCAATGAGTTAACGGATGTTATTCCAATGAAGTATGTAAGCAGGATGTTAATTCTCATAATATGAATCTTTACAATTTAGAAAGATTTGTCTGAAAGTTTGTCTCAGGCCCTTTTTAGGAAGCAGTGACTCCAAATGCATTAATGCCAGTCAAAGGAATGGTTAACCATCCTGTAAAATTTTGCATTGTGCTCTCTGAAGTAAGAATACAATTGCTCTAAGACAGTGCTGTTAACAAGAGGATGAGGACGCCCTTTGGACTCATGTAGACATCTCTCCCTCCCATCACTTCTGATGCAGTAGAATCCCTTGGTTTGGTTAAAATAAAAATTAGAAGACATAATTCTGGAAGGAAGATTTAGAAATCTTTCAACTTTTTGTAACTCAGGAAGAGGGTCCTTGATCAAAGTATTGCCATCCACTATGTGAATCTGATCCAAACTGAAATGCTTAAGCCACTTTTCCATATGGACATCATATAGACTTCTCTGAATAGCTTTGTATTTGGTGTTAAGCACTCCATTCTTAATAACAATATCTTCAAAGAGCTGAACAGGCTTGTGACTTTCTACTCTGTTGTAATATACTTGGGTATAGTCAGATATAACTCTCTCAGTGGGATCTCTTAGAATGAGCAGCAGTTTAATGGAGCTATTCATGTCATGAATTCTTCCTGGAGCCTGTGGTGATGTAAAATAGCCTGGTGTTTTCTCAATTGTAATTTGATTTCCATAAGAAAATGGCATCAGATTTCTATACCAGTCTATTCCTTTCACATAATTTTCATCCCAGTCAAAGAAGTGGACTTCTGTAGCTGCCACCACAATGTTAGGGTGAATATCCAACATTTCCAGCAAAGCCCTGGTCCCTCCTTTACGAACTCCTATGATGATTGTCTGAGGTATTTGTCGGCTTGTGCCAGGAGGTCTCACCTGTGCTGAATAGTGTTCACTTTTATTGCTGAATAATCCCACTTGTGACTTCAGTGTTTCCAACAGTGCCCCATTCTCAACAGGAGCACCTCGAGCGTGAGTCAGCAGAAGATAAGCTGACACAAGTAGGAAGGCCATGTGGAGAGGAATAATTATTTCAAGATAATGTTTTGCTCAATTAATGAAAGAATAGGCGAGTCCCCTCTTGAGATGGTTGGCAGAACCTGTGGTAAGCACACAGCAAGCTTCTGAAGCATCTGCAAAATAAAGTAAGACAAGTCAGTGCTTCTAAGCTCATCATCAGTTAAAAAATTCAACTCACAATTAGCTAGTTCACAAAGCTAATCTGTGATCCCAATAGGAAAATAATAGGGAAGGTATTTGTTTGAAATGAAGCTGACTTCATTATAGAAGGACAGAAAAGTCCCATGTGTTGGGGTTTTTTCTCCTTACTATGAGTGACCAATAATAGATACCAACCTTTCAACAACTTTTATTTCCTCAAAGCAGATAAGAATTGTTTACCTGATTTTAAATCCTGACCATTTGTTGCTTGCTTTTATTTTCCTAATTCCATATATACCACATACTTCTCTTGTTATAAATACTGTACCCCACACAATAACAATAATTCCAAAGAATATTTGAATGTCAACACCTTTCCTCAAATTCCCTGCTAGATTAGTATATTCTTCTATAAATAACAGACCAGGACAATGGTGCCACCATCTGGGTTCTACTGAGCTATGAATCATACAAAAACTATTCTCTTTACTTAGACACAGAAAACAAAACACAGATATAGGCAAAGTTTTGGTATCTGAGCCCTTTAGAGCATAAAACTGACTGTGCCAAAGCAAGAGTAAAGTGACCAAGTTGGATCAGTGTGGGAAAAAATAAATAATGCAGGGTGGATGGATTCTCTGCAACTATCCAAGCATTGTGATGCACAGTCATGTAAGTGTTGGAAAAGTCTTTGTAAAATCAGATCTTAAGATAATATTCTGCAGTTCCCCAAAGCTCTGTATAAGAGATACCCAGGTGCTTTCTGGTAATCTGTTTAAAAAACAATAACCATTTTTGGAATAATTTTGAATTATGGCTCTTATTTTAACGTAGCCTCAAAAATGTTACAACCTTAGCTCCTTCTCCAGTGTTCACTGTCTCTTTCTTCTTCTGAACATATTGGTCACAGTACTTCATCTCTTAGAAACAACCTTAGAAAACACAGCCAATTCCCATTTGTCATGGCACTGAGGAACATTCAATATTTCTATTTAAAAGTTGTTCACTTTGAGTTTTACTTTACAGGCTTGAAAATTTTAAATTTTTGATAATAACAGTCTAGGCAATGCAGCAGATTCATTAAATCTATTTTCTAAATTTTATTGAAACCTTCTCCAGCTTCTTGGATATCTAGGGAATGACCCCAGTCAGACTCAATGAGCACTAAACTCACAGTTATATAGCAAATATTAACCCTAAAATTGTCATTTAAAAAATAAACTATGACCTTTAGTGAGGAAATCTGCAGAGAACATTCCCTGTTATGTCCAAGCAAGACTTAAAGGGAAACTGCTTCTTCAAAAAGAGCACAGTTTCAACTAGGAACAGTGAATATGCAATTACTAAATATTGGAAAAGCCTAAGTACAAATTGGCTTTGTGATGACAGACAGGAATGCTGTTCTTTAAAAACTTGAAAGGATGTTTCACTTTAAAGATCACAATTTCTTTACTAAGAACTTCACACTGAAGTTCTGTTTGAAGTTCCCTAGAGCAAAGAATGCAAGAATTTCTATGGCAATCACAGGAGGGAAGAACAGGTATGTTTATACCAAAATCGTTTATAGTTACTATTCCTTTGGATGGCAAGTTTGGAAAATGGTAACCATGCTGTTTAGTGCTGCTGAGGGATTAAAATGCATTTTACAATAATGGCAGCTAATGTTGGTTTTGGAAAGCTCCTCAGGATGCATTTGAAGCGTCACAACCCGGGTGATTCCTGGAAAGCCAGCTTTCAAAGGAGGGACTCTGTTTTAATGATTTCAAGCCAAATTTTTCACAGTTCTCAAGGTTCCTGAACAGTTCAATCTGAGGAAAGGCACAGCTATGCATAAGACGGTTTCAGGAGTAGCAGCATATGACAGCATGGCATCTTTCCAGACCTGTGGTGCCAGCAGCATGATTTGGGAGCAGGGGCCAAGGGAGAAGTTAATCATTCTTTTAACCTGTTCTGAAATCCCAGTGTTAGTTTGCATTCCATTCATCTTCATTGCTAAATTAAATTTCTTTCAGGAAGACTGAGGAATTGTTTTCATTAAAATCTTCCCATTTTTCTCAGTTTACCTCTTTCATGATAATACAACACATTATGCATTATAAATACACTTACACATATATACATTAGATAGTATAATGCTTTGAACTGAGGGAAGACCAGTCTGAATGTCTGCCAAGCAAGGGACTACTCAAAAATACCAAGGTGGAGACATACAGTTCATTATCTGATTTAAATTCTGGAACTATCCCATTTTGAAACAGTTTCATGAACTGATTCTTGACAGGTACGTTAAGTAATTTTATTTAACTTAAAAGAAAACTATTTTTATATTTCTTGAGACTAACTAGGTTAATAGCTTAAATTGAAAAAATAGAAAGGAAGAGGGGAAAAAGCAGGAATTTCTCTGAAATAAACTAAAACCAGAATAAAAAAGAAACAAGTATTTGATACTGGGACTGTGCAGTAGTATAGACAGAGATATGTTCTTCCTAGACCTGGTGACAGGTGAAAAAATTCTCAAATTCTCTTTTTTATTGTGTTTAAAAAACTCAAAACACTAACATTATTCCATCCCTAACTAACTGAGTTCTCTGGTTTCATCACCTAAGAATCAGGTGCAAATACTGAAACCCAAAGAAGACTGTAAGCTGAATGAGAAAGTCATACTTATCACAGAGGAAAGATTGGTCTTCCAAAATATTCTCAGGTTCACTTCTGATGTGAGTGAGAGTCTGCTTAATTTACCATCTGAAATCAGCAGTTCTCTGTAAAACATAGTCAGACAGCAAGAAGCAGAAGGGATTCTGCATATTCTGTGGGCTGAAGTATTGTTTGAAAAATAATTCAACATAATTATTAACCATTTTAACCAGTTTTCAAAATAATTAGTTGTTTTACAAATTTCTTAGAATCATTGCTAGAAAAAACCTTACTCAGGAAATACTACAGAAAAAATCAAATTCAAAATGTACTGTAAAACTGGTTCCTAAATAGATCAAAATTGCCTTTGGGAGCAATTCTATCAAAACAACATTTCAGCTTTGGCCTAAGACATTTGATGGATTTCAGTGAAGCTCTAATAAGTTAGATTCTGTGGTTAAGTTATAATTGCTACATAAATGTAAAGGTTTTAAAGAAGATTTATCATATAATTGGAATGTTATTTGAATAAATTTTTGTTGTTGCTGTTATGCCTTTATGCAATTGTATTTTTAGAAGATATTAACTGCTTTTTATAATGAAAACAATATATTTTGCACTGGTGCACTGCACCAATGAAGAATTTGAAAGTATTCTTATGAAACTAACCCCATGACACATGACCAGAATTACAATGCCTTATTACCATTTTTCCCTATTATTTGGTAGTGTTGGTGCTGTTTAGTACATAAGGAACATCAATAGACATGGTACTTATTAAGCAGAAAAGTAATTCAGAAATAAATTCATGCTGCAGAAAGGACTAATTAAGTAAATAATACCTTGGGCTGCTGTTTGTTTTATTTTTTAAAACCTTAGACTAGACTTGAAAAGCTGCTATACTGGCTGAAAAATCATTTTAATATTACAAAAATGTACTAAAGACCCTTAACTGCTGCACTCTACTCTGAAAAAACTTCTAAGTGTCTTATGATTTATCTTGCATTGGGGTAAAGTACAAAATCATAGGGTAAACCTAAAGATATTATTATTACTAATTTGTAACATTATTAGTTCCTAATAATACTTCCTGTATTACACTGCCTGTAATGCTTTTCATTGGAGAATTCTGCAGCACTCTGAGTTAATGAACTGCCTGCACCTTATTAAGGCACCATTCTCACCTTGCAGGAAATTGCAACTGACCAATGTATAGATCCAGTTCAGGAGTGCAAATGCTTTGGAAAGTCAGGTTAATCCAATCTGCTCAAGGTCACAGAGCAGGTTTATAGTCCAACCAAGAATAAAAACCCCAGGGCTCCTAATTCTCCATCCAATTCCCCTTCCAATTCCAACTTTGTGTCATTCCATAGCAGCCTCTCACAATCCTGATGATAACTTATAGCTGGATTACATGCTGAACTGAAAAGCGAAGAGGTTCTGCGATGTTTCAACATAAAACTCAAGTTTTGGGGTTTTTTTTTGGAATAAAGCTGCTTCTTTCCACTTGTTCCTCGCCAAAAAAAAAAAAAAACAACAAAAAAACAAGTACAAACTTGGGATTTTAGTGTTCCAAGGCATTTGTGCAGAAATACTTGTGTTGGTGACTGAAAACTGCAGCAAGGGGAGGTGGTCAGAGCAAGCATAACAAAATACCAGTTTTTGTCTTGATTTTTAAAGATTTATTCCTGTTACATTCCTAGTTAACTCCTATTAGATACAAACTCATCCCAGCAAAAAGATCAATCCCTGAGAAGAGTGCAATGCAAACGTGTTAAGGTTTACTGGCACACAAACTTGTAACAGCTCAGTTATATCTCTATAATTAAGAACATCTCTAATACTGACAATATGAAAAAAGAATTCCAGACCAACTGCATTCACAACCAAAGGTCTATAAGGTGAACAGTTTCAGAAATTTTTTTGAAGGACAATCATACTGTGATGTCAGTTAGACCCATGTAAAGTATCCCTATACAAACTGGCTTATGTAATAAATAATTCTAAACAACAATATAATACTAAAAGTTTTGGAATATCTGAAATTAGGCCAGTGATTTTCTTTCAGTAAAACTGGAATTAGTTACATAGCATAATGAATGCAAATCTGCTCTCAATATGGCTTATGCATTTTTTCAAAACAGGCAAATGAATTATCCAGCGCATATAGGGCACAGTGCTCAATAGAATGCAGTATCAATGTATTCAAATCCAATAATGTAATGACTAATACTATTAATTGTAAGCATTAAATATTAGAAGTAATACTATCATCAAAAGTCCTCTGCATAATACCTTAATTCTGATTATAATATAACTTGTGAAATAATGGACA